TACCTTCTTCCAACACCCACCCCCCCCCAATTCTCCTCCCCATTCAACCTGGGCAGGGAGTGAGCAAGCAACTGTGATACTTCATTGTCAGCTGGGATTAAACCACAAGGCCCTACAGGAGACCTTGGCTTTTCAGTCTCTTCTGATCGAGTTAATAAATACATGAAATAAGACTTAATTGAATGTTAATGTTTACTCAGTAAAGGCGTGATTTTCTACAATGTTAAACTAGGACTTAATGTCTTTTCAGATCTAGTTGTTTAAAAATCCTTCATCAGCACATGCACAATGCTTTTGTTACTTGCTAAAACTTATTTGGGAACAGGTTGCACAGTAGTTGTTTCATCTGTGACAAGCGAGGCAAATTCCTTTTTTCAGGTTTGTTCTTTCTCAAGGCTATTTGTTTAGGTTCAATCATTCCCTCCTTTAGGAAGACCTGCCAGCAACTGGGTTGTTTTTTTGGTTGTCTTTTTATCCCCCCATCTTCTTCAGCTTTCATTCTTCACATAGGATTGGTCAATTTGCTCAGTTCCACCTAAGGCAACCTCTCTACAATCAGACTGGGCAGCTTGCTCAGTTTCAAGTTAAGCAACATATGCACAGAAAACAAGTACCAGTATTCTAAAGAGTTCAAACTTCCGCATTTCTGATTTAGTGTTTTAGATAACATATGCAATAACAATATCTGATGATGAAAAAAGAACAGGTTGGAAGTTAGATGTCCATCCAGTAAGAAGCCCCATACTCACACCTGTACACAAAGAAAGTGATGAGAATTCTACTCAGCATCATTTCCAAACTAATGTCAGCAACTCCATTTTTGGAACACCTCTGTAACAGCTAGTATATGAGAAATAGTAATAGCTGTTGACAGGAGAAGTGATATTTCTGTTAACATCATACTAGACAAAAAGTACATCATAGCTATATAAGAAAGGAAAATGATTCAGGTCCACCACTGTATCTTTTCATAATTTCCTTTGGGCTCTCACCCCTCATGAAAGCTGCATCACTAAAAATTTTTCAGCACATTCTCATGCAAAAATAAAGATTTTGACATTTCCTCCTCTTAAAGCTAGCTGAAACACCATTTTATCTATATTGCTACCCCACTAAGGTTCTTCTGAAAATTTAAGTTAAGACTCCTAAATTAGCAACTGTACTCTCTATTTTACTTCTGCTAAATCATTGCGAAGTTTTTAGTAATTAGCGACTGAAACTCTTGTCTAAAACAGCAGCATAAACTCAAATATATTTATATACTTAGAAAATATATTAACATCCATGACCTGTTGCCACACAAATATTTTTCCCCTAAACTCAGATATGAGCATTAGTTTATTATTAATCCTTAAGTAGACGGCTTCAAAGCATGGAAACAAAGGGCGTGGACAAAATAGTTCGAATACTGTTACATTCCAGTGGCTTTCCAAAAGCTTTCAACAGAATGTAGAAAAGTAACATCTTGGATGTCTTACCTGTTTCTTATAGCTGTTACTGAAATACAAAAGCAATTAGGATGACCTCAAGGTTTTTTAAACCCCAAATTTCAAAATGTTTATATGCAAAGCAAACAGCTTCCATACAACTTCATAAAACATTTAGGACTGTTAACTTCAGGCTTAGCACCTCTGTTTTCAACCACAACATAAAAAAAAATTAATATGGAACTTTAATCCAAATGAATTTCATTCAACAGATTAAGTGTTATTGTACAGCTTCTGAAAGACTATGCTTCAAGTCCCCTAAAAGACACCTTTCAAATCTGTTCTGCTAAAGAACATCACATACAGTTTCTCACACGTTAGTATCATAGCCATCATAGTTTTGTGCTACATAAAATTTAACAAGAGAAAAGCTGTATAATTCCATAGTTGAACTCTATCGAATTGGTTAATATTCTATTCAGTGCTTCACACCTATCCCAGATGAACTGAAGAAGGCACATTTCACCATAAGGAGGCCAAAAAAAGAATCCTTAGGAGGACTTACCAGACCACCAGTTCAATATGGATATGTAATAACACCAGATTGTTTCACGTCTACAAAGTCCCTTTCTCAAGCTCCTTAGTGGGTAAACTACCAGCAGCATCAAGTTTCTAACAAACCACAGGACAGTCTGCTAAGGCAGTGTTACTGAATATTCTCTCTGTGAACTTTGATCCACATAATCAATGCCTGTCATTTTTCCCACCTTGTATAACTATTTTCACCTCTATGAAGTGTGTAACAGTGCTAAAAGCTTCTTGGAATTTTCCATCTACCTAGAGAAGTATAAAAGGCATAGAAAAATCACATAGAAAAATCCTGAGCTGCAGTTACAGGCGGGGGAAAGGAAAAAAAAAAAAGATAAGTCAGCGAGACATGCTGTGATGACTTGCAAGCAAGCATGACTCAGAGATTAGCAATCACTGATTACCAGTGGTATTAATTATAAAATTGAACAGATAAAAATACATGGAAATGAACCAAACTCACACCACAAAGCTGAACTCCCGATCGTAACTTTGAGCTCCCACGTTGATGGTACAAGAAAAGCATTTAGAGGCTGACTAGAGTAAGTGGTTTTATTGCTTAGAATATCTACATAGCCATCTTAATGGTATTTATTTAAATGTCATGTACGTAAAATTTTAGGAATAAAACACCACAGACAATAAATCAAATAGCAGCATGAGGAAAAATATAAGACCTTTTGGAAAAACACTGCAGATTCGGGGTTTGGTTTTTGAAGCGTCTGTATGAGGAGGCTATCTTTATATTGTTTGTGATTAAAAACAAAAAAACCCACAGTAAATTATTGATAGATAAGCAGACTTTAACATTCCTACTTGTTTATCACAGCCTTCCTGTAGAAGATTCCTTTGACAGATGGAAAAAGGATCATGGAAACTATGTTAAACTCACTCAGCCTTCCACTACACTAGTGCCAGTGCTCTCAATTTTCTTCTACTTCTTTTCTGTAGTCACTCATTTTCCTGACACAAAAAACTAATATCTAAGAAGAATATATGATACCATTTATAGTAAAAAGAAAACTGAGGAAAGTATTTCCAAGTAGCTAGAACAGATCAGTAAGAACATGCAGAAGAAAAATGTCATCTGGGAAGACCATGTTTACCTGAAACGGTTCCTAGGGGAACAAACAGCAAAGCAATACCTATGATGTTACGACCTCCCCTCTCCAACTAGTTAGGAGGGCACCCTCCATTTCCTATCATTCAGTATTTGCTAGAATTCTCAGGCTTTCATTTTATCAGGCAAATCAACAACAATGGAGTTTCATCTTTCTAAGGTATTTTATGCTTATGAAGAACAACTCGCTCAAATAAATAGTATATGGTAAAGTAGCTAAATACTATAGACTAGCTTGAATAATGCTCTTCCAGTTGCTGGCAAGTACAGGGATTTTCACTTTTTTTTTGGTTAACCACACCTATCTGTCACAAGTTACATTACCATCCTTTATGGTTTAAATGCCACTCAGCATTCATTCTGAATAACCTTAAGGCAGCTTTAGCACTAGCCTATGAAACTAGTAACACTTGGGAAAAACATTTACTATACAATGAGACCTTTTATGGGCTTAAAACAGCTGTTGGAGAGAAATTCCAGCACCAGACATTGAGACAGACGACTCTTCAAAACCCAACGAATTATCTCTGCCCAAATGCAATACTGCGGATAGAAAAAGCACTGCTTCCCTTCCACCCCACCGGGATCTCATTGCTCCTGCCAGCTACTGGCAGCGGGGAGCGAGCCGAGAGGCGTTTCCCAGGTTTCCGCAGGCCTGCCAGACATGTCCGGCCCCGGCGGCTGTGGGCGGCGGGGTCCCGGCCCAGGGACTGCCCGACCCGCACCGGGCAGGGCCCCCCGGCCCGAGGCCCTGCGAGCGGCCCCGCTCCGCGCGCCGACCCCCGCGGCACTGCCCTCCCCGCCGCGCCGCGCTCACAGCCCCGCACTCACAGCCCGTCTCCTTCTTGATTTCCTCGATCTCCTCGTCCCGCAGCAGTGTGGACGCCCGGGAACCCATCGCGCCGCTGGGCCCGAGGGGGAGGGAAGGGAAGGGAAGGAGAGAGTTACGCAGCCGAACAGCAGCGACGGCGGAGTCACAGGCACCCGCGGCACAGGCCCGACCGCGGCCGCCCCGCTGCTCTGAGGCGGAAGGCGAGCGCGCTCCGCCCGTCGCCGCCCCGCTGTCACTGCTCCCTGTCACCGCCCCGCCCGTCACCGCCCCGCTGTCACCGCCCCCTGTCACCGCCCCCTGTCACCGCCCCGCCCGCCGCCTCCGCCCGGCCCGGCCCGGCCGCCTCGTTCCGCCTCCGCCCGCCCTCAGCGCCCGCCCACGGATCGCGCGCGCACGCGTGTGGAAACCCTCTGGTGTGGAGGGAGAGGGCGGACGCTTAAAGTGACGCCCTTGTTGGTGTTTGTTCCTGGTTAATAGTACTGCCGGGTCCTACGGGCTGGCTTTGTTTTGCAAATCACGGAACCGGTCAGGTTGCAAGGGGCCACAGCGGGTTGTCCGGTCCAACCGCCCTGCCCAAGCAGGGTCATCCCAGAGCACATGGCACAGGATTTTGTCCAGACGGTTCTTGAATATCTCCAGTGAGGGAGATTCCACAACTTCTCGTCGTGCTTGCTGCTGTCTTGTCTTCTTTCTCCCTGTTAAGTAACCCTAAGTTAACATATATTTGAATAGTGGCACGGTAGCAAATTCGTGTGTTAATCTTTAAAATATACAATTTTAGGTACAAGACTCTGCAGCTACATTTAAAGGCTGGTCACAAAGTGTTTTTATGTTTTATTATATTGACATAGGGATGGACATTATTTGAGCTCTATAATCATAACTGAATATTTTTATATCAGCATAAGGAAATTTATACTAAGAAGTCATATTTCGTAGAATCATCCCAAGTATTCTTGACGTCAGGCTGCCCTATTGTAGAAATTAAGCGCTTTTATGTGTGACGTCTTTCAGTCAGGTGAATGCTTGCATACTTTTTTTTTTTTGGTCCCGAAATGCTACCATTTTTTATGATTTTATAACTTGTGTTTGATTACAGTAAAGTTTCAGTGGATGCAACTATTTTACATATTGGTGAACTTGTATAATTGCCCTCCAATTACGGTAACTTAATTAATAATTACAGTAATGGATCAAATACGACTGAATCAATATAAATACTTACAGATATTTAAACTGTATTGTTCTTGGGCTCAGGTCAGGTACTTCATTCTTTGTACTTTGAACTCTAGCTTACCTTAAGATTGTTGCTGACCTTTGCAGTGAACACCAGGTTCTGCTTTCACCCTTTATTTTCAGAATAAATGTGAAATTTTGTCTGAAATAAAGGCACTTTTGTGCAAAATAAGCTTTTTTTTGTGCAGCTTCAGGATCTTCTTTAAGAGCCATGCACATAGCACTAAGAGGTTGCTTTATATGCAGCAGTTCATTTTCTGAACACAGGTAGGGGATATTGGATGAAGTATTTTCCTTTGCACATTTTATCAGCATGGAAGTCTTAATAATGTTATGACGTCTGTGTTATGTATGGTTGCCTTGCTCGTTCACGTGCACTTCAGCTGTTGAAGGGAACAAACAAGCGGACACAGGCAGCAGATTGTGGCCCATGGAGTTCTCCTTGCGTCTCCTTAGAGAGCCAGCTCAGAGCCTCAGACAGCTCAAAATACTGCCTCTCAGGTAATGTGGATATTACTCAAGCAATGTAGTTAGTCTTTGTCAGATAATGTCTTTCCCAGATGCTGTTATCTCTTGGTTTGCCCATATCAGAACAAGATGTATACTAAAAAACAATGGTCACAGAAAGGTAGGTACAGAGCTCCTTATCTGCAGACATCAGAAGGAAACTCACCTGCTTACCAGAACGTTTATCTTGTAGCTCTTGTCCACTGTAAAAGTGGCTGAGCAGCACAGCTTATCTTCTGGAGAAATCAAAGTGCTTCAGCCAGTGAGAATTTCTCTCTGGTGACTGTTTTAACCTTATACTTGTTCCTGAAATGTATGTGGCACGACAGACAACACAAAGCTCAATAAGACTATTGCTCTTTGGATCTGTGCTGGCTGTCAGGTGCTTGCATTGATTTGGACATGTGGTTCCTGCTGTAACATATACAGGTGTGTACATATACAGGTGCAGATCCAAAATCAGCTTGTTTTGTTCTCATAGAGCTGTGACAAGAGTACAAGATCTGTATAGGCTAAAGAAAGGTTAGTTGCATTTAACTGGGTAGAGGGGGAGAAAATAGAATTATAGAGTGTTTTGGGTTGGAAGGGACCTCAAAGGTCATCTAGTTCCAGGGACACCTTCCACTAGACCATGTTGCTCAGAGTCCCGTCCAGCCTGATTTTGAACATTTCCAGGGATAGGGCATCTGCAAGTACTTTATATAAAATACATACAGCACTTTTGTAGTTTTACAATAATCTGCTGTTTGTACATTCTCCACAACTGAGATGCTAAGTTACTCAGCTGTCCATTCACTTTTATATGAACATTGTCCATTCACTTTTATATTTAACAATTCAAATACCAAAATTACAGAAGTAACAAAAAATGAGCAAGGGTTGATGTGATCTGTCTGTTAGTTTTGTCTTTGCAACAGTCTTTCTCGTTCCCTAGACAAGGCTGGAAATTAGGGTGCTTTTTTTTTTTAAATGGATGTAATTTTTTTAACTGACATATTTTTTTTTCATTTGGGTGTCATAATGACAAAAGGTAATGCTGCAACTCACTTTTAAACAGCCAATTTTTTGTTAAAAACCAGAATTGGGGTCATGCTTTAGACTGTATGCATTTGAATCAAACAGTTCAGGAATCTGGGTGTGTTTAGGAAGAAAAGAGGGAAGAATGACTATCCCAACCAGAGAAGTAGAGTGATTCTACATCTAAAATACATACCTAGTGCAAAGTGCATTCAAGTTAGAGGAAGTGTCTAATGATTTTCTTCCCTTCATTTTAGAGAAGAAGGAAGAAAAGAATGCGGAGTTCACAGTTGTTGATTGTTTCCAGCAGAAATTTGGCCCTGCAGTAAGTACTAGTGAAAACTCTTATGCCATGTATATGACTTCTAGGCCAGTTCTGTTCTAATTGTCAGTACCCTTTGTCAGACTGTGGTGAGATTTGAGTAATAGGTAGTAAATGGCTTCTTTAAGTCATGTAGAAATGCTATCTCTGGTGGCATCAAAGAACAATTAAAGTGTGCATAACAGTGCACTGCATGGGAGATTGCAGTGGATGTGTACAAATCTGCATCGGTGTGTGTTGGCTGCTGGTTTCAGACCCTATATCACCAGTTACTGAGGTGAAGAGTCAGTATTACTATTTAGTGAACACTTATTTTGTTTAGGAAGGGAGCAACATGAGAACTTGTTGTTATTTGGAGAGGAAATTGTGTTGGTTTTGCAGGTGTTTGGAACTCCAGAGATGACTGGAGATGACTGGACCTTTTTCTCTTAAATCATGTACAATAAAAAAGCAGACTTGGTAGAATCATAGAATACCCTGAATTGAAAGGGACTCACAAGAATCATTGAATCCGGCTCCTGGCCCAGCACGGGACAACCCCCAGTTTTTTTCATGTGTCCAAACGCTTCTTGAACTCTGTCAACTTTGGTGCTGTGACCAGTTCCTTGGAGAGCCTGTTCCAATGCACAACTACCCTCTGGGTGAAGAACCTTTTCCTAATATCCCACCTAAACCTCCCCTTACACAGATTCATGACATTCCCACTGATCCCCAGAAACAAGAGATCAGAAAGGCTTTGTTTAAAAACTTGGAATCAATGATAGATTTATTATTAAATTTAATAGTATTTTTTAGATCCTAAATTAGACCAGCAATACTATAGGGTCCTCTATGCCATTTTGTCTTGCAGTAACATTGGTTGGGATTTGGGCTCTTATTTTGGTAAACCTATTGTAACTACAGAGGAAGCTCTTTCCCACAGGAAGAGATGTCCCTGCTTACAGAGGAATCTAACTGTTGCTTGAAAAAGAAGCTGGTTTTATGCCTTCTACTCATATCCATTTATGCCTTCTACTCATGTTACATGCACTACAGGTTTGCTTTTCTTAATTGTCTGAAATTTTTTTGTGTCTGTGAGAGTAACAGTTTTTTTCTTTTATACTTTGGAAAATGTGTTTTCCTTTTTTTCTAAGAGGAACACCTGCTTTATGTGACATGAATGTATCCTAAGGGAATTCTCTCTACTTAGGAGAATTTCTTGGGAGGAGTTCAGGGAAGTCCGTGTTCTTTAGTTATCTATATCCCTCCTAGACCTATCACTGATGCTTCTAGTTGTGGAATTTCCAGCTGTCTGTCTGTAACTGAAACGATGCTGTGTCTTTTTCTCGTGGATTACTATCCATCTGAGATTCATTGTGGTTTTGATCTTTTCAAATATGGATAATGACCAGAAAAATCACAGTTCACTATTTGTCCCTCTGCCTATCATTCTCTGGTGGTATTTATTTTATGCCTGTTTTCTTCATTAGGTGCTGCCCCTAAAACAGCAATGTGTTGTCAGAATAGCAGAAGAAGGTGTTAATTTGTGTCATCATGGAAAACTCTCATGGCCTGAAGTAAGAGACAGATACTTGCCAAAATGTGTTACTAAACAGGGGCATAATTGAGAAACATTTGAGGATTGCCCAGTGTTTAAGACTTACATAACTGTTCTGGTAATGGATATGATATCCTTTAAGAGAGATTAAGTATTTCATAAAAGACCTGTTACGGAAAGAATTATATAAGGTAATAGAATAATGAGTAAACTTGTGTGTAATATATACATTTGTTTATAGCAATGCAACAAATTTGGTTTGCATTCTTGTATACAGGTAGAGCTATCGCAGTAGTACAGCTGTTGCCTATTAAAAAACTGCAAGACCTAATCACAATGCCAATATACTTGAAGGTGTAAAATCCATCTAAAGATGATACTGTGTCTTAGTTATCTGTGATGTTATAACTGTCTGAAGAGGAAGAGCCAGAAAGGAGAATAGCTTTATGTGATAGCTCAAAATCCTCTTAGCTTATTTTTAAATAGATTTAAAAGTGAGTGTGTTTATCCAAAGTGAAAAATTGTGTGGGAGTTCATACTTCAGATTTAACCCTTTTATGCAGAAGCAAGTGTCCACAAAATGTTTGCTTTGGTATGGCTAAATTGCTTTCAGCTTTTGTTAAAAAGCTTTATGCTTCTGTTAAACCGTTATGAATCTGAACATATGCAAAACTTAAATTTTATAATCCATTTGAGAGGCTAGGATGGAAGATGATGTCCTCTATTTCTTTGGTAGTGCTCTTTGACAATGAAACAAATGTCATGGGCACAAGAATTTTGTTGGAAGTAATTCTGTAAAAATGTCACCATAATAGGTGTAGGAATTTGTTTTAAGTAGCGTGGTCTTGATATGTCTCAAAGTGCATTATTTAACCATTGTACAGTAGACAACTGTGTTGTTCTTTTCAATTATTGGGAAAATCTCTGAGCACCTCTGGAAAAAACAAGACTTGTTTATGAATTACCACTAAATAAACTAAACCCACTCTTCCCCACATAAGCCTGTACACAGGAGTTTATGGCTTATAGGCAACAGTGCAGTTTCTCCTACTTGCAAATCCTCTGTTCTTCGGTCCTTCACTCATTTTCTCTGCAACTGAATTTGTTCTAGACAGTAACAAAGAGACATGTTTTTCTATTTGATATCTTTCTTCTGGGACCCCAGGCTTTTGAAAATGGATTAAAAATGGTGCTTGAAGATAAAAACATCTTGAAGGTAAGGATACATGGTGTGTAAGGACATTTGTAGTGGCAAAGGTCATATACATATATAATAATCTAGCTGCACCAAAAAAGTTGCAGTTGAATACAGGTTTCCTTGATAGCTCTATTGCTTCAGATCATATTTGACTGCTGGTGTGTCTCAGACTGTCTCTTTCACCAGTACAGTATCCTTCAGTGTCTTGGATACACAAGTACCCTTCAAATATTCTGGTTTGGAACAAAAGCTTCAACAAGAGAAACTTCAGGGCATTTTCTCAAAGAAGGTTTAACATTACTACAATGTGACAGTTGTTGAACCATGTAAATGTTTGGTTTTGTTCTAGCTGAAAAGAAACAGCAGGCAAGGCTGATAGCGTTATTTAGAACCTTGTGGAGACCCATTTTAAAAGGTAGGTAAGATCTAATACTAGCAGCAAGTTTAATGTGGTAAGATGTTTTAGCTGGTCTTGTTCAAACTTGGACCAACCTGAGGCTACAGTGACTTCACAGGGGCCGGGTCAGATTGGGCTTTATATTCTTTCTTATTCTTTCTGTGCCTTTCACAAGTGTAGAAACAAATTCAGACTACAGGTATCCAGCGCTGGGAATCATCTGCAGGTAAAAGCAGTGGTGAAAGTGAGAGAACAGGCCAGGTTATCACAAAAATCTCTTTCTGCTGGTGCTGGCCCTAGTAGTTGTGGTAATTAATATGTGACTAATGGGAGAATCAGATCCTTCTGAGAGAGAATAAAGTAACATAATGGCTATGATCTTTCATAATGGGCACAGATATGTTATACGTGGTTATGTATGACTTGTCCTTGCATGTATACTGACTTTTCATTTCATAGATATGGCTGCCTATAGTAACTCCTCAAAGCTCTAATCCGGCCTATTTAGTAAGCTTTATAAGGCTGATTAAATATCAGCCCGTGTAAAGTCTTGACTGTATGAAAAAGGTAGGACTGAAAATTCCCACCAGTGCTCCCAACTATACTGTCTAGAACATGTAACTGATACTGTGGAAATAATTAACCAGAACTATCCACCCTAGGGTCCAAGGTACACAGAATTGCACTCATTGTTTTGTTGTCTTGGTATGAGCTGACACACATGCTTTTCTTGCACTGATAGATCTCTAGGCTTAGAGGTGCAATTACTCTGATTTGTTGGCCTGAATCCTTCTTCTAATGTAGGTACGCTACTGATGTGGTCTGATTTTGGCCACCCTGTAGTGTACATGATATTGTGGAATTATCTCATCTTCTACTCTGTACTTCTAGAACAAATAGCTGGGAGATACTTCTGAGCAAATTCTCACAGATGCTTTTTTGAAGCACTTCTTAGAGACAGCTTCCCAGTATTGTTAAAATGGGAACAGGCTGTGTGCACAAGTGAGATTCTGCTTAAAAAAGGCAGCAATGGAGTTTAGAACTCTGGTTTACATGGGATCCTGCCTACATAATTTGAAAAATGTTATCCTTGGATTCGACTAGTTGTTTATTCCTTACCATAAGTAAACTAATGTAATTAACACACAATATAGAGAATGGCAGTATTCTGAGGTTCACTGTCTTTCCCATTGATGTTCTTATAGTACTTAAACATCACCTGTTGAAGTAACTTTTAATGATAAAGTTTGTGGAAGTTTGATACTATTTCACATTTGACTTCCTTGGGGGCAGGGGATGTGTCCCTGTTGGGCTAATAGCAGCCTAAAAAGCTGCATAGTGAGCAGGCAACTGGCTGCTGTCAGTGCTTGTTGACCTAATATTGCCTTCTGTGGCACTTCTATGCTGCATCAGGAGGCTGGAGCATCTTCACGCTCTGAAACCCTTGCCTGTTGTGTAAAATGTTGTTGGTTGCATATCTATTTACTACCAAAAGAAATACCACAGTTTTTTCTAGAGGTTTGTTGCTGAAAAAAATAAAGAAAATTTGACAGCTTGATACTTTCCATAAAATAAAAGTCCATGCAAGGTTTAACCATAAAATGTACAAGTGAAGAAGTCACTGTTGCTGTCTGATTCCACAGATCGATGAATATGCACTACTTTTTAGCATGCTGTGGGTTTTCTGCCCTTAAATCCATTAGCATGCATTGGACTTTGGACAAAGGATTTCACAGTGAAAGCTAAAACATTGCTTTCATTGAGGGAAAGTTTATTCTATAACCTTGTTCATTCAGGTTAGAGTTTTTATTAATACTGATCACAAAAAATGCTTTCATTTCTGTTTAAATATTTAAGTATTTTCTTATTTGGAAAGCATAGATTTTTTTTTTTACTAGAAACTCTCTAACTATCCAGAATGTATTTCTACAGATTTGAACATCATCTTTGTTGTGATTTTGAGTAAAAGTAACTGACTGCTTGAGAAGGTCTATGCTGAGGTTCCTCTTCATCTGCATTTGGCCACTGAGAATGAAAAGCTAGAGAAGGTTTTAGTGGTCAGAAGTAGAATACAAAGGACAGTTCAGTAACAAGTGATGGAAACTTCCACTTTACCTAGTGATTTATGCTTATAATCTAGTGAAGGTCAGCTCTACCTGGATCTTCTCAAATTTCTTTTTTCTTTTCAATGAACTTATTGTTTTGAATTGTTGCAGTTCCTTTCTCCACATGTTTCCTGCCATTTTTCAGCTGGTGGTTGTAGTCTTCTTCCTTAGAAAATCAGTAAATGGACTGGCTTAGCACTTTCTTCTAGTAGGCTTAGCAAACACATGGCTTTTCTCCTAAAGAAGGCAGCAGTTATCTATTTGACTGGTGCCTCAGGGGCAGCTTTTAGCATTATTAAGTTATATCAGGTTCTTTGCTATTGGACAGGAATAGATTTTTTTTTCCACCAAAGAGGTTACAGATAAGTTAGGAATGGAGGGGGAGGGAGGTTAATCTTGGAATTTACCCTCCCTATAAGAGGCCAGTAGAGGCCAATTACAATTCTGTGCTTGATACTGCAGGGGCTGAGCTGGTGCTGCCAAGCACTGTGTGGACAGGTCTAGGTAGCACATGGGCAGCATGTGCCAGAAAGCTCAAACAGTGGCTCTTGCAGTAAAACCAGGCTGACCTGTAAACTCATGGTGGTGTTAGTGGGATTGTAGATGTCTGCACAGAATGTTGGCTTAAGGTTTCTCAGGAGATAGTAGTAAGGAGAAAAGGGAGAAGTCAGTGGGGATTTCAGGGGACCTGAATGGGAATCTGGGCTTTTGAGTAGTGGAGGAAGTCAGAAGGGTAGGTTGTTCTAATGACATATAGCTCAGTCTCAGGTTTTGACTGTGGATGCAGGTTTTTTATTTTTTCCTCTCCATTCCCCTGGTGAGTGGATTCTCTTCCAAGCATTCCTTTTCCATTGGGCTGTCAGGGCTGTTCCTACTTTTACTGCAAACAGGTAAAAAGGATGAAACCAGGATTAGAAACAAGCAAACACCATGACATTGAGTTGCTGCTGGAAGCTGTTACCTGCTCTCTTTCTGGCTCTATGTGCTGTCAAATATGAGTCTTACTGGCAAAATCAGGTTTTAGGCAAAAGGTTTATGACAACTTACATATTCTTTCATCATGTTTTCTTTATATTGCATAACTATTTTAGGGTTTGGATAAAAGGCAAAACCATAAGTATCCTGGGAAAGCATCAGTGTATGTTTACTCTCTCCTGTTACTGAGAGTACTGAGCTAGAAGGAGCTGTAGACCCTTTTATGTAACTTAACAGCTTTAAGGAGTCAGATTACTATCTCTGCACCTGTATGCAGTCAAAATGTTGAATTGTTTGTTTTGTAGCATACTTTACTTCTAATATGCATCTCCACTGTCAAACCTCCACATTCTTTGCCTTGGATTAATGGACGTTGGTCATGGCATATTGATCCTTTCCATCACAGGCTGCTGATGCTCTGCAGTTTTCAATGACTACAGGTGCTTTTCTCCCACATTGTGTCTGCACATTACAGGAGTGTTTGATGCAGCCCTTGAAGATACCTTCCAAATGGAATGCCATCCTGAAGTGCAGGCAGCAGTTGACTTCAATGAGTGATTCAGTAAAGCACCTTCTGAAGACTCAGTTGTGAGCTGTGCTTTGCCCATTTTGAGATGCTTCTGTTAATTTGCCTTTTTTAAGAGCATGGCACTAAAAAGTGGTTGAATTGCTGCAGATAAGGACATTTTGTAACAATGACTTGGGAGACAGGTGTAAGCCTTAGTTGGCATCAGGGCTGGTATTTCCTAATAGCTCATTTGAAACTGAGGTTTTGAAGAACCACAAAGCTTGTACAATAGAGGATATATACAACCTGGGTAAAAAAATGTTCTGGATATCATAGAATATTTGACTAATTCTGAAACCTAGTTTCAACAGAGCAAGTTGGTTACAATGAATCCCAAGTCAAGCAGGGAAAAAGAGAACTTTTATTGCCAGCACTATTAGAATGAAAAAATACTAGTGTAGTTCAGCAGCATTTGCCAAATCATTATTCTCTATTGTCCTTATTTTTGTTAATCTTTCAGATGGGGACAAGCAAGGGAAAACTTGATGGGTCAAGAGCTCCTAAGATTTGGGGAACATAATCCTGATAAATAGACTATTTCATATGAAAGGGACCTACACTGAGCATCTAGTCCAACTGCCTGACCAGTTCAGGGCTGACAAGTTAAAGCCTGGTATTAAGGTCATTGCCCAAATGCCTCTAAAGCACTGGCAGCTTAGGGCATTGACTGCCTCTTTAGGAAGCCTGTTCCAATGTTTGACCACCCTCTCAGTAAAGAAATGCTTCCTAATGTCCAGGCTAAACCTCCCCTGGTACAGCTTTGAACCATATCCATGTATCCTGTCACTGGATAGCAGGGAGAAGAGCTCAGTACCTCCCTCTCCCCGACTGGCTGGTGATGCCGTGTTTGATGCATCCCAAGGTGCCAGGGCACACTGCCAACTCACACTGAGCCTGCTGCCAACCAGGTCCCTATTCGCAGAGCTGCTCTCCAGCTACTCTCCCAATTTATACTTGTGTCCAATGTTATGCCATCCTAGATACATAATCTGGCATTTCAACTTGTAAAATTTCATCCCATTAATTGTAGTCCAATGCTCCAATCTGTGTAGATTCCTCTGCAAGGCCTCTTGTCCCTCAAGAGTCAACAGCACCTCGCAGTTTGGTACCGTCAGCAAACTTGCTAACGGTGCATTTAACTCCTGTATCTAGATTGGCGATAAATATACTGAACAGAACTGGCTCTGAAATTGAATCGTGAGGAATACCACTGGTATTCCTCAACTGGTGCATGTTGACAGCCAGATGTATCCTCTATTCATTAGAACCCTTTGAGCTCTGTCTGTCAGCCAGTTCTTCACCCAGAGCACCGTGAATCTGCTTATCCCACAGCTGGGCAACTCGTCCAGAAGTATGCTCAGAGGGACAGTATCAAAAGCCTTACTAAAATCCAGAACCAGTGTGACCAGCAAGACCAGGGCAGTGATTGTCCCCCTGTACTCGTACTGGTGAGGCTGCATCTCCAGTACTGTGTCCAGTTTTGGGCCCCCCACAAGAAGGACATTGAGGTGCTGGAGTGTGTCTAGAGAAGGGCAACAAAGCTGGTGAAGGGACTGGAGAAAAAGTCTCATGAGGAGTGGCTGAGGAAGCTGGAGTTGTTTAGCCCGGAGAAAAGGAGGCACATTCCCTACAACTACCTGAAAGGAGATTGTAACCAGGTGGGGGTCAGCTTCTTTTCTCTAGTAACAAGCAACAGGACAAGAGGAAATAGCCTCTAGTTGTGCCAGGGAAGTTCTAGACTCGATATTATAAAAGTTTCATCACTGAAAGGGTGGTCAGGCATTAGAATAAGCTGCCCAGGGAAGTGGTGGTGTCACCACCCCTAAAAGTATTTAAAAGATGTGTGGATGTGGCACTTAGGGACACAGTTTAGTGGTGGACTTGGCAGTGCTGGGTTAACAGTTGGACTCAATGATCTTTGAGGTTTTTTCTAACTGAAATGATTCTCTGATTCTGTCCTTTTGCTGGGATTTTTAATTTCATGACCTTAATTTTTTTTGGGCCAGAGTGGTTGGGGTGGGGCTGGGGTCAGAAGATTTCCAAAGAAGCTATTAAATAAGGGAACTAGATGCTTAAGGAGACCTCAGTAGAGAGGCAGAATTTATTTACTGAAGGGGAACAATCTCTTTCCTACAAGAGTACTTTTTCTCCCTTCATACTAGTCTTGTAACTTCCACAGTAAATAGGAGTGGTTTTGCACTGCCTGTTCATGGACTTAAAATCTTTCTCGAAAGCCTGGATTAAATGCTATTTAATATTGCTGTAAAAGCTACTCAGTGAAACCTGTAATTCGAACACAGCATTATCTTTATGTAAGTTTTAGAATTCAATATTGTCTCTCAAAATTTCTATTTTGAGAATTCTGTATGGCAAATCTAAGCCAAATGACATGTCTTCCTTAGTTTATTATCCTATTGCTCTGAAGACTAAAAGTGGAAAATGACTGTGTAATATTCATGTAATAAGTATACCAGTGTAAACCATTCTGTACTGACAGTTTTGCTCAGGGTACCACAGTCATGGTGTTTAACTGTTCTTCTAGTTTCAGTTGTGATTGCTGAAGATGTTACTATCATAGGAGGTTTTTTTTTTCCCTTTAGGTCTTTTAGCTCAGTTCTTAGGAATCCAACCTGGTTTCAGAGACAGATGGGAGAGAACTAGCATTAAATGCTGGAATAGGTGTATGTTGGTTTTTGGTTTGTGTTTTGGTTGGTTGGTTGGTTGGTTTTTTTTAAGGAAGCAATCTCTCCTTCCAAACTTCTGCTTCTCTAACCACTACAGGTTTGTACACAGATGGCCGCAGAAGCTGAAAGCATACAGTAGCACTGAAAGTAAAGATCAGCATCAGGAAGTATGTTGTAAACTGCAGAAGAATGTGATGATAAGCTTTGTTAAAATTTATTCTGCTTTAATAACTGTCCTGGTTTTGGCTGGGAGAGAGTACATTTTCTTCTTAGGAACTGGTACAGTGCTGTGGTTTTTGGATTTGGTATGAGAACACACCGATGTTTTGGCAGTTGCTGAGTAGTGCTTATCCTAAGCCAAGGACTTTTCTGTTTTCCGTGCTCTGCCAGTGAGGAGGTGCACAAAAAGCTGTGAGGGAGCATGGCCAGGACAGGTGATCCAAACTGGCCAAATCAGTATTCCATACCATAGAATGTCATACCCAGAATTTAAACTGGAGGAGTTACCTGGAAGGGGGCTGATCGCTGCTTGGGGATGGGATACTGTGCATCACTTGTTTCTTTTGGGTTTTATTCCTCCCTTAGCCTCTCCTTACCATTACTATTATCATTATCATATATTATTATTGTTGTTATTATTATCATCATTATTATTATATTTTGTTTCAATTATTAAACTATTTTTATCTCAACTTAAAAGGTTTACCTTTTCTTTCCAATTCTCCTCCCTGCTGTGAGGGGGGTTGAGAGGAGTGAGCACGTGGCTGCGTGGTATATTACTGGCGGCTGGAATTAAACCATAACAATAACTGTTTTCATTTGCATTGGGATATACAGGAGAATCCTGACATATATGGTTCTTGAGACTCTTCCCAGCTTCTCTGCTTAATGCACTTGTTCTGAATGCTATGTACCTCCTGCTGGTCCACTCATCTCTAATGGATAACTTGATGTCTGACCTATCAGCTGTAGCACATGGTTATTTTAATGCTTATTGGACTGTCCTGGAGATCACCTTGTGAGCACAAATGTAGGTATGTCTCTGCTTGTTTCTCTGGTAGTGATTTGATCTAAGGCTCTAATGGATAAATGCTGGAGGACCGAGCTACAGCAGCTTCCTTTTCACAGTGGTACACCCTCCTGTGTGCTACATACTTGTTTCCTGTGTGCAGCAGCAAAAGTGATGGTATCTGTATCTACCTAGCTCCCTTTCATATTAGTTCATTAGCAGAATCCACCTCTAGTTAGCCTAGTGGATGGTGAGTTGCAGCTGTTAAAGCATGGGCACGGTCACCTGTGCCTTCTGTTCACTGTCCCCAGAGCCTGAGAACAGCTGGGCTCAATAGGAGCAACGTACACGTGAGGAAATGAAGAGTAACAAGCAAATGTGATGTGTTGGTACCTGGAGCTGACGGGGTTGCTTTGTTTTGGTAAAAAATGTTTAGTCCTCACATCTTGTTCTATTTTTCTCCTAATCTGTCATCTTTACTGCTGAGCTGCTTTGCACACACTGGGTGTTTCTGAGTAATGTTTGTGAACCAAAGATTTTTATTTCTGTAAAAGCATCACTGAGTTATTTGGTCTTCCTAATTTATTTTCACATATATTATTTAAAAGTAGCATTTTTCATCTTTCGTTACACAGAACCATTAGTAGTGCATGCCCAGATACCTTGGAGGAGCTGGATGGTGGACACTTCTGTAATTTTGAAATTTATTAATTTTCAACGTGGAAAGTGCAGGAAATGAGATTTTTGGTGAAGGAGCTTGACTTCTTGCACTATTGGAAAGAACAGGTCCATGCAAAGCAAACAAGCAGTGGTATTGATGTGGCCTTTCTCTGTCTTCTCAATGAAATAATCTTATGAGGGCTTGCAGTAACTATGTAAGACATTGTTGGTATTAGATTTGGGTGCAAAGTGCATGGTCAAACATCCTCATTCACCACAGAGACTGAACTAACAGGATTAAATCCTCTTAGTGCCTCATTCTTACAGTTGTAAATGTCTTGAAATATTTATTAGGGAAAGAGAATGAAGTTCTATCTTCATGAAAGAAATAGGGTTTCCCCCCCCACCCCGGTTTAACAAAGCACTGAAGCACAGACTTGGATCCTTTGGGAATTACTTAAGAGCTCAGAGCAGTAAATCCCATTAATGAGGATTTAGAGGTTAGATAACACAAGAGATCATAGTTGCTTCACAGATATAAGCGAAGAGGTCATATCTGAAAACCTTTTCTTTTTAGAGGAAAGCTGCCAAAAAAAGAAGGTTGTTCATAGTTCATGAAAAAAAAATGAGCTGGACATGTGAATTTCCAATGTGCAATGCATGCAAAAGTAGGCATGACACAAGGGAAAAGAAGAGTGTTAAAGTGAAAAGTACACATTCTGTTTTGCATTGGGCAGAATTGTTTTCAGAATTTTTAAAGTGGTATTCATGTTGTTGAAGACAATACCTTTGTAAATCCATTTATTCCATAAGATTAGCCAAGGAATTAATTTGATCCTGAGTATTTCAAATGCCATTTTGAAAATCTATTTAATATAACATCTGGTAATCATACTTTCTGCATTTTAAAGCTGTTGCCTTCTGAAGCAACTGCTTTAGAATTCTAGTATAGGGAGTAAAAGTAGTAATTTTCATCATCATTTCACTGTTAATAATTTTCTGTTGTTTCTATATCTTGTGAGAAGATCACACAAATAAAAGTTTCTTCTGCTTTATTTAAATCTGCTTGCAATACATATTTAAATGCAAAATATGGAGTGTGGTATAGTTAAATCTTGTCTATTACTTCTGTTTCTTCACTCAGTAAGTAAAAAAGTTAAGGCAATCCTTTGCAAGTTGATGAGTTCAGCTAAATCCATTTTAAGGCAAGAAAGAAAAAACCACAAACCTTTAGTTTCTGCAACTTCTAGGTTTTCCAGCTAAGTCTGTATTATTTCCTTAAATCAAAAAGCCTTTATCCAGATCTGATTTCAGAATGAAGTAATAGTCACAATACTTACCCCCCCCCATTTATTGTAGTGCTTTTTCATGGTTGTTTAGAAGTTTATGCACCACTAAAATCTATGTTATGCCTTCTGTACACTTTGTGGAGCAACAGTTGAAAGTTACCTGGAAAATGCTTTTAGTGGGCTATTTTACTTTTTACAATGACCAGTTACAATTTACACTTGTGCTCCACCTTGGACCCTTGGTGAACAGCAGTCTGGTGCAATGAGCTTGACTTCACCTTGGAGCCACTGTCAAACAACAGCAACACTGGACTCTCTGTGCTTGATGACTGTGTTCTCCAGACGGGATCTGTTGCAGTTCCAATGCTACTGCAGCAGAAGTAATGGATCTCCTTGGATTCTGATACCTCTGGCAGGGAAAAATCTTGGAAACCTGAAGTATGTTATCTACTATGCTCTCTCCATGCTGGAGAACTGGAAGAGAGACATCTGTTGCTGAAGCAGTACTGCAAAGCCGAAGACAATAAATGCTCCAGGGCCATAAAGGTACCTTGCACTACTTCAGCTACTAAACTGGAAGGGGGACGTCACTCTTGAGTGAAAAGGAACCATCTGTGATACATCAAGCCCTTATTTGAAAGTTCTGGGAGCGAAAGTCACTGGGCAAGAGAGTCTCCAAGTTACCATGGCTTCTCTGATTTATAGGCACTTGGAGAAGATGACCAGATCAGGAAAATAACTTCCACTACTCCAGGTAAGGAAGCCTCTCCTGGGCCCTTCTCTGTTCTTTTCTAGTTTCTGGACTGTGCTATCTGAGCAGAATCACCAGGTCTTCAGCCTTTTGAAAAAGGTAAAGTTAGTTATGCAGATATGTCTTCTATTGTGCCTCTGGGCTACAGAGATGTTTGAGTATGTCCTACCTGACTGGAGCAATGAACAGAGCTGTGCTTCCCTGGCCTGCTCTTGTTTCCTCTGGTCTTACTGAGTGACATCATGTCACACAGAAGAATGCTTTTTTTTTTACTTCTCCCATTCCTCCAAACTTATGACACTCCCATGTAAACTATACTTACAAAACAAGTACACATACAGTTTCAATCATGAGACTTCATTAAAAATCAAATACTGAAGCTGGATGGATTACAGAGCCACACTTCTTCCCATCTCTAGCTGGCACATGTTGAATCTCAGCTCCTGGATCAGGGTTTACAACACTGAACTTCAGCTTTGAGTAGCATGGAAACATCCACCTTATCTTTCCCAGCTCACTGCCATATCCAGTTCATAATGCCAACAGATTTTTGTGTAATAACAGCATCAGGATATACTTGATGAAAAAGATGCTTTAGCTTTCCACTCTGAGGTGCCTGTGAATCGAATAATGCTGAGTAACAACCAGTAATGTTGAATAATGACTACTGGGGCAGTTACCTACTCTCTCATTCTCTTGTCTAATCAGGGTATTCAACCTCTGGAAGCAGATCAGGACCAGACTCTCTTTTTTCTCCTCTTGGAAACAGCAGCAAGCAAAAGTGAATATGCATAATCATGGAGTAAAAGCCAATCCTGTTCACTTGCCCTTATGGATCACTGCATCCACTGAGAGCTGGAGAAAGACAAATGTGAATAAGGCTGATGAATGTAATTGTCACCACCCTTTCTTGGGCTCTGTATGCCCAGTTGCTGCAGTCAGTTTTCCACGTGCATATCTTGTTCCTCCCTGATAAGTTTCTGTATCCTCTAACAGGCCCCCATTAGTGGCAAAATACCAGAATCACCTTCTGGCTAAATGCACAGCTCCTTCTAGGGCCAGATCATCCTTGTGGCCTTCAACATATTCAGGAGTGCTTGATTTCAGACTTATGCATAATTGCATGTGTCTAATTTATTAACAATGGTAAAGTACTGCCAGTGGTCCACAGCAGCCACAAATAATAATGCAACACTCTTTTTGATGTAGGAGAGAATGAAGAAGAAAATAGAGAAAACAAAATAACAAGGAAATAAAAAGAAAGGCATCTCATTCATCATGATAATTTTGGAAATGTATGTTGACACTTTCTGTGGTTTCTTGTGTCATCACCTGCAAGTGGTAGTTGGGTCTTCTGAATAGTGGACACACCCTCATAAGCAACTGACGTTTTACCCACAAACCAGATGCAAAGCAGTAACCTCTGATCATCAGCACTTTGTTATCAAAACCCTCAGCTTCCCTCTTCAGGGTCTTTCAGAAACTGATAATCCTCCTTGCTGCTGAGGGGAGGAACCCAACACAAACTTCTCACCCTGAATGTCCATGAAGTTTCCTGCATTTTTGGCATAACGTCTGCCAGCAGTAGTTCTTCTTGTGGATGCAGACACCCAGTAAAATGGGTGTCTGTGCCTCTGCAGCTCTGTCACTAGAAAAGAGCTAGTAAAGGAGCTACATGTGCTACAGTTCTAACTCTCCTTGTAGATTCATATTGTGTTGTTAAGTACTTGGAAATGCAGGCATGTTCTCATGTTTAGGACTTAAATTCAAAGAACCAAACCCATCAGTGTAAAGAAGCAAATGTTCTAGAAGTGCAGAGCCATCTTGTTTAAGTGGTGATAGTTCATGCTCAGGGCTCTAGTACCACAGAGCACACTCCTGCAGAGTTGATTTCACCAATGCGCTTACGGTAAAGCTGCAGTAGACAAAATGCAGTGCAGTAGATTATACAAGATAACACAATCATGACATGTGACATGCATAAACTCTCTTGTTTAAATATAATTGCTCCTGAACCAGAGGTTTTCTTAATTGGCAGGTGAGTTGGGACTACACATAATGAATATTAATCTTTATGAACATACAGCCTGAATTTTCTGCAACTTGGCTTGAAATGGCTTGGGGCATGGATTACCCCACACTGTAGGGTACAGCAGCAGTTAGGAAGATGGATGTGCATTATTCTGGTTAAACTGAACTGACAGTGGGGTGTTTTCAAGTAAGTGCTGCCTCTGCTTTTTTCTGTAATCCTGTCTAAATTATTTATCCTTCCTCTGGATCCGTGCAAATTTTTAGACACAGGTTTGTAAGGTATGGCTTCCCTTTGCAAACACTGTGGTAATTCTTTTCCAGTGCATCACATCTGTATATCCACTCATCTGTTATTAGTGTTTCTACCAATGTGCTTATACAGACATCTGACTTACCGGCGTGTTGTTTCCTCTATCTTTCTTGAGACCTGGGTATCA